AACTCGATTCTCGTCCGCGAAATGGTCGGCGTATCGGGAGTTAAGCGACGCCTGGAATCCCGCGCTATTCCTCGCCAGTCATACATAATCAGCTTTCGCGGAGTTTTCGCTCCCCGCGTCTTCGATCTTTCTCCCTCTTCTACTCTGGTTGAACGGCGAGCCACGTTTCCGTGTCGAAGAATGTCGATGGCTTTTAAACTACGTGCGTTTAAGCGCGCGCACGCACCGCCATCACGGTGGTTTTTCAACGGCTGTCCACGCTCTTCGTCTTCGCTCCAAGTGTGGAAATTCAAAGTGCGGGGAACCGAGGCTTTCGCGCGAATTTACCGGGAACGTTTCCATTAGTTTCGAATGCTCGGTTCGTGTGGAAAGATGGAGAAATTCTCAGAAATTCGCGTCTCGAACGCGAACAAAGGGTGATCGAGAAAATTATAGAAAATTTCGAAATTTCGGTGAAAAGGTGGGTGTGAAGGGAAAGGAGGGGGGAGGGCGTAAATTGCAATCGTTGGCGGCGGTTCTATTAACGAGCTGCTAGGAAATAGTCATTATTAATAACCGGTTGCATCCTGCAACAAAATTTATCCCGCGCTTCCGCTCGGTCGTTTAATTCAGTCACCGGTATCGGCCGCGTTCAAAAACCGTGCGCGGTCCAGCGCGATCTACCCGCGCAGCGAGACCCTTCCCCGAGCGGGGTGGGGAGGGAAAGATTATGAACGCATAAATCAAAAATTAGCATTAACGATTCATTATTAACAGTCGAGCTGCGCGGCCGAGATAAAATTTATCCCCCGTTTCCGTATTTCGATTAATTAATGCGAGCGCCCCGTAACGCTTTTTAAACGACAATATTAACGCACCCGCGCCGCGGAACAGGCTGACGTTTTAACGAATGGATACCGGGTTACCCGGTACGGGAGAGACGGGGAGAGAGAAACGCGGAATAATCATTCTTAACCTTTGTACTTTCATCAATCGACCGTGCCTCGAGCGAGCGAAAAATGGAATATCGCAAACTGGGTGAACTAAATCCACCTTTCCTTCTTTCTCCCCGCACGCTGTTTGATTACCGACAACCTATACTATTATTTAAACCGGCTTTTTACCCGACCCGTTCTCCACCACCCGTCCATCAAACTTCCCTCCCCCTACCCCTCCTCCTACCCCCGTGTATATATTCAAAGTCGGCGCAGTTCACACGCAGTAATTACGATTAAACCTCGATCACGTCCCCCTTCCCTCCTCCCCCCTCCTATATATTTATCCACCACGAGTCGATATCTCGGTTTATCCGGTACGATATAACGATAAAACGAGTGTGTGCCATTGCTATCGCCGCGATTGTCGTCGCGAGAGAAAAAGGTGGGGGGAGGGGGAGGGGGAGGGGGAGAAAGATCGTGGACGCAGGAAAAGAGCAAAAAGGAAGCGCAGAAGCTTTCTCGGGGAGAGAGAACCGCGTATCCCGAGGTCCACGAGCGGAGTTTGTGTGCGCGCTCCACCTTCTTCTCTCTCTCTCTTCGCTGCGGATCCGTCGTGGCTCCGAATCCGTGGGCGAAAAGAAGAGGTCCGCTCGTACGAAGAGCGAGGTGAACACGAGGAGGAAGAGGAGGAGGAGGAGGAGGAGGACGAGGGAGCAGAAAGAGGGACAGACAGGTCGGTCCGAGAGAGGAACCCGCGGCTGCCATGGTTACCGTCGCATTCCCGCCTCGCCTCGTTGCCATGGAGACGCCTCGCGGCCCTCTCTCTCTCTCTCTCTCTCTCTCTCTCTCTCTCTCTCTCTCTCTCTCTCTCTCTCTCTCTCTCTCTCTACGTACAACATGCTACGTTCTTTTTTTTTTGCCATACCGTTGCGATGACTCTTTCCTCTCCGCAACGGAGACGAGCAACGAAAAAGTTCCGCGACGAGCGCGCGGTTCCACGCGGGTTCTGGATTCCAGGGTGTCGAGTGTCCTTGAGATGGTACGCGGAGGAACGTCGTCGGACAAGAACCTTCGATTCTCCATCGCTCGATCATGACTTCCACTCGTTCCGGATTATTATTTTGCGCTTTCCGCGACGTGCGCCTAGCAGGGGAATCTCACCGTCCCCTTTTCTCCTTTCCTTTCCTTTTTTTTCCCCCCTTACACGCGCAAATTATACGCTCCTTCCGGTTCATCCCTCCCCGCCTCTCCCTCTCTTCTTTTCTCGAACGAACGAAACCGAGCGGACGACACCGACGATGGTCGTTGCGGAAGAGGGCGAGAGAACAACGGCGTCTCGATCCGAGATGCACCCACCCACGCTCTCGGAGAGGTCTCGGTCGTGAAGCATCGACACAGGTGCAAGCCCCGATTCGACTCGGTTGTCCCCGCTCGACCGATCGCTATTACGACCATTAGGGTGAAATTTGAATCGGAAAGGCATTAAAGATATTTTATGGCCTCCCGTGGTGCGCCGATGCCCGCGCTTAATTATCGTTATAAATAATATTAACGCCCCTTTCGTCGATTTAAAACCTCGCGATAAAAAACGGACCCTCGCCAATCCTCCGTTTCGCCTTGTTCCGCTTCCGTCTCCTTCCCTCCCCCTACTTTCCAGCGTTTCTATCAAATGCGAGCCTGTATAAATTAATTACTAGATACGTCCCGATACCCTGCCTCCCACCGTACGACGCGCCGCTATCTCCTTTCTCTATCGAGCCTCGACCGCCCTGGGTAACGCATCCGACGATCTGCGCGTTGCGTGTACGTATATATATATATATATGTGTATATTCGTTTGTTGAGATCGGTGTCTCGGTCGTAGCGCGTACCGCGGCGACCGGCTCCCTGTCCATTCGCGCATGTACACCGGCATGTTGACCGCGTGTGCACACCCGTGTATATCGAGCGCGTACACGAAGGTGTCGGGAGAGAGGGGGCCGAATGGTGGCAAGGGGCCACCGAAGAATACCAACGGTCGGCCCGGTGGCTGACATCGCTTCCGACCGATCGCCCAGATTAATAAAACCGCGCCGATCTCTCGAGATACGACGAGAAATAAAGGGACGCGTCATCGATACGGAAAGTATTCCGGCGCGGCGGAAATGCAACGGCGGAGAGAGAGAGAGAGAGAGAGAGAGAGAGAGAAGAGAGAAGGTGTCGAGGGCGGTACGAAAC